CGTCAGAACATGCCGTCAACCAAGGAGTGCCACAAGGCAGCGTACTAAGCCCTACTCTCTTCAATGCAGTCGTGGCGCAGCTCCCGTATAATCTTCCACCTAACATCAGATGTTCAGTATATGCTGATGATATAAGTATACGGACGTCTGGTCCAACGTTTTTGGATGTACAACAAACTATACAAGAAGGATTGGATTATGTAGACCATTTTCTAAAAAAAAAGAGGTATGGCACTGGGTCTGGCTAAAACAGCCATACTTCCACTTACATTAAAAAGACCTGGAAATTTCCAGATTATTTTGCAAAATCAGCCTATTCAAATGGTTAAAACTCATAAATTCTTGGGAGTAGTTTTAGACCAGAGACTAACATGGTCGCCTCATGTCCAGTCCCTGGAACAAAAAGTGAATCAAGCCATTCGAATCCTCGGGCATCTCTGCGGGGCCAATTGGGGTGGTACTACAGAGTTGTTATTAGCCCCACATGTTGCCTGGATACGCCCCATCGCAACCTACTCACTGTCTCTGGTGCATGGACTCCCAGCCTCCACCGAAAGGAGACTTCACTTGTTATTGGCAAGGAGCTTGAGGGTATGTCTGAGTTTACCACGGTCAACTTCCAGTGCTTTAGTGTATGCGGAGGCTCGAGAACCACCTTTGGCAGTACTCCGAACTAAAGAAACATCTCGAAATATATTTAGAATTTTCACGCAACATGAAAGTCATTTTTTATCTGATGCACTAACACAAAGGACGGCAAGGAGACTACAGGATACTGTATCATCATTTCAAGCAGTAGTTCCAGAATTTAAACAATGGAAACCTTCAAAACCACCTTGGACGCTTCCGCTTCTCAACGTTATCCGTGAAATAGACGGCTTAGAGAAGAAAGCAGACATGGCACCTCTAGTAGCGGCACAGTTGGTACTTCATCAGCTTCATGTATAGCATAATGAAAAACGAAAATATATACAGACGGATCATGCACAGAAGAAGCGTCAGCCTGTGTGGTCTTTATACCCGAAATTCAGAAAAAGATGTACAAATTATCGCACACATCTTCATCGACGACAGCAGAATTGGTGGCTATTTTTGAAGCAGTTAAGCTTATCTGCGAGAATCCCGAGCCACGAAAATGGGTGATATGCACTGATAGCTTACCTGCTCTTCAGCTAATCAGAAATGTGAGATCACCTTACAAAAATGGTGAAATAGCACAATATATCGCAGAAACTGTGGAACATGCCTCATCGCAGGGTCACAACATCGTATTCCAATGGATACCCAGCCACATTGGAATAAAGGGAAATGAAGATGCTGATAGTCTCGCGAGGAAAGCATTGAAGGAAGGACGGGATTGCACAATCCCTATGTCTGGGGCGGATATTCGACATTTTATATCGCAAGGAGCTAACCATTGTTCGATGGAGAAGTGGTTTGAGAGCCCTAAATCAAAGGAAACGGTACTTTATGAAGTTGATCCGCACAGAAAATTTTCCATAGTGACAGACCTCCCACGACACCTAGAGACATTGATCCACCGACTTAGATTGGAAGTAGCATACACAAACAGCTTCCTGCACAAGATACATCAATCCAACTCACCGGAATGCCATTGTGGTCATGCAGAAGAAAATGTTCGCCATATTCTTTTGGAGTGTGTTAATACGCGAATGAAAGAGAAAAATTAAAGAACAAATTAGCAAGTTTGGACGGACGGTCCCTCACAATAAAGAAACTACTTGGACCATGGCCTGAGATGCACCTCCAGAAAAAGGCAATAATCTTCCTGACAGACTTTTTAGTGGAGACCGGACTGGACAAGCGCCTATGACTGACAGCCAGAGATGGGTATTATGTAAAATATGGTCATGTATATACTGACATTAGATTAGTAAGGTGTGCGTGTAAGTAGTTTATGACTGTGTGAACTGCGTTAAGAAAACTGTGTATTGGCATGTTATTTGAACTGGTTTCAGTGTCCTATTATGTGTTTTTCCGCATTGTTAGTTTTTGCGTACGTTCTGTATTATTATTTCATTTTTCGCTGCAGAACTTTGTGATATGGAGTAGCCGAGGCAATAGGCACCTCAACCTCTCCACAGCAAAACAGTTAAAACAGAACAAAACAGAACATGTTAGGGAACTGTTTCTGTTTAACGAGATAATTTTATATACAAATACTCATTATTACCTTCTCTAAAGTGACTCCGCTGAAGCCAGTAGTATTTTCAATTAAATAAACAAGCCCACACCATGCGTGACAGGACATCGCTTACGCATTAAACAAACGTGATCACAGCCCTTGTCTTGCGGGGTCTAGGCTGAGCGGGTGCTTCCTAAGACAGCTGACATAGAAATTGAATCAATACACCAATATACTTTACTGGGCTTGGTGGGAGAGCGGGCTTATTGAGATAGCGTGATCGAAGTGCGCATGCGCAGTAAAATACGTCCCCGGTCCGCTCACAGTACGCACGCTATTTTTCAGATTTAACGTTAAGTGTTAGCGTGGTTTACGTAGTGTACGTAAAACATCACGGTGGTTTCTGACGCCCACATCGGGGTGATTTTGGCGTAGATTTTGAAAGATTCTCTTATTGCACAGCCAACGATTTCTTGAATTTTCTTCGCTCTACCTCAGTTACTTTCGATGACTTAGTATTACGGATAAATCAGCGTAGGTTTTTAAATAGCTTCCCATTTCGAACGTCTGTAGGCTTAACTGAAAGATCAATGTAAACGAATCGGCAACATAAACATGGGTGCGTTTGGTGCATGGTTCATAGTTATTTACTTTTATTACTAAAAAAACATTGCTTCGTCCGGTGACACAGGCAAACATTCTCGTTTTCTTTTCCTTCTCATTGTTTCTTTAACGTATTCACCCTCAGATAGGTGGCGCCACCGTCCAAGGTGGGGCACCAAGGTGGGGCACGCAAACCACGTAAACTCTATCCTGCTAACGCTGCCGGCAACGAGCATTTGCGGCACAGTAACGCTATTTTCCTTACCCCCGATATCATGCTAACGGTAAACTATAACTGTCTAATAATACACCCGGCGTTACCCTACACGGCACAACCTTGTGGCGCGCGAAAACGCTGTGTGTAACACGCACATATGTACACATTTTTTTCCGATGGATAACGAAGCCGCCAGCTGTTTTTGTTCAATACACATATATATCAAGTCTATTATTGTACAATGAAAATCTGCCAAGGCACGTTCATGTGAGTGGTAGGCTGGCGCTGTCATTATAGTATCACGCAACAAGGTCGGATACTTCTTAGGGCATCGTTCACTTAAAATACTTGAGGCAGTCACTTAGAAATAATGGCTTGCCCCGTTGTTTCACATGATCGCCCCATAAGTGAGGAGGCAACTGACGAGAAGCAAGTGCCCAAATAAGTGGTCTCTGCGTACCTTGTGAAATGGGCAATAGCAGTTCGATCCGCCAATGACCTGTTGGCGTAGTTGGAAGGGGTCCGGCGAGGTATAATCAGATGTATGGGGCCTAGATCTCGCATATATATATATATATATATATATATATATATTATAATATATATATATATATATATATATATATATATATATATATATTATATACTATATATATATATATATATATATCTTGCTCATGGCTGGTTATTTTGTCACCCACGTTTCTTCTTATTTACATTCGATTTGTTCTAATAACTTCCCTTATACATTATTTGCCATTATTGTCTGTTAGATCTCATTATATTGTGTGAAAACACGGAAAAAAGAGCCCTTAGGTATACACTTCTTTCCCTTATATATATATATATATATAACTATATATATATATATATATATAATATATATATATATATATATATATTATATATATATATATATATATATATAAAATATATATACTGGTATTCACGCTTGCGTGCTTGCTAAGCTGAAGGCCTATGTTGTTACATATCCATAATGCTCACACAATTTTTTAATGCAATAAGCGTGCTAAGTAACTTCGCTTTTGAAGCCAAACTGTTAGGAATAGAAGGAGGAAGCAAGCAAAGAGAGAAGGCAGATAGGTTAACCAAAAAGACAATGGGTAGGCTAAGCTACTCAGGGGGATTAAGGAAGGGTATACGAAAGATGAAAAAGAGGAAACAGAACGAAGAGAGAAATGAAGAGACAGACAGTAAATTCACTGCAGCGTGTAGAAATCCACCGCAAGTCAGAAGCGTTCACAAAAACCCGTTGTCCTCATGAAACACAAGAGGGCTTTCACTGCCTTGTGGACTGTCGAGGGATGTGGACGGTGCTGTAATAGCAGCTGCACAGAAAGAGGTTGATCATCCAGTCGCCGCAACGCGTTGGCAAGAACTTGTCTCTCTGAGGCAAACCGACGACCGTGGCACAGCAGGTGTTCGATATTTTCATCGGTGCTACAAACATTGCATGCCACAGTGTCAGTCATTCCGATGAACTTGGTGTAGGCTTTCGTGAAAGCAACTCCCAGCCAAAGGCGATAGAGAAGCGAAGCTTCGTGTCGGTGTAGGCCTGGTGGAGGCCGGAGTTGTAGTCAGAGGTTAGGAATAAAGTTTAGAGAAACCCATGTTTTAACCAGCGTGAGAACGGTGACTCGTGTCCAGATGTCCAAACTGCGACACAAATACAAAGACAATCCGCAGGCCTTCGTGAAGGAGATCATCCAGACGAATCTCATTCGCCCGGCAGGCGAGAGTCACGTGGAATACTGCGGGGCTCCCAACAAAGAACTAGACGCGGAATTTTTCATGCAGGAAATTAGAGCTGTCCTCCAGCTACTGAAGAATAAATCGGCGCCAGGCCCTGACAAGATCACCAACTAAATTCTGAAGAACCTGAACGATGACTTCATCGAGAAGCTACGTCAGTATATCAACGCATGCTGGAAGGAATGCCGTATTCCACAAGAATGAAAGACAGTGGATGTCATATTATAATCCAGGCCAGGTAAACCGCTTAAGGTTCAAAATATGAGGCCTCTGACGTCCTGCATCGGGAAAGTCATGGAGCACACCTGCCTCAACAGGGTGACGATGATCCTCAACAAGCGGGATGCCTTCGGCACCCAAATCATTGGCTTCCACAGAGAACTTTCGACGCAGGATGCTATGCTGCAGATCAAGGAAAAGGTCGTTAACGCACCAAGCATACACGTGCGCGACCTACTCGGATTAGACCTCAAAAGCGCCTTCGATACAGTAAAACACGCGGCCATTTTGGACAAGATCAGACGGCTAGATCTTGGTTCGAGGTTCCACCTGTACGTCAGCAGCTTCCTGACCGGACGTAGGGCGACGGTGAAGGTCGACGGTGCCCTACCACGAACAGTTGATATGGGGGTGCGGGCACGCCGCAAGGACCAGTGCTTGCTCCCATGCTTTTCAACTTCATCATGATCGGACTACCGGAGCGTCGCGACGCAATAGAGAGAATCAATTACGTGACCAACGCAGACGACATGACTGTGTGGACCACAGTGAATACGAGCGTCGTTGAAATGCAAGAGGGAATGAAGCAGGCCGTCAGGGAGGAGGAGCGGCACCTCGAAGGCACGGGACTCGTCTGCTCTCCCGATAAATCGGAAATCCTCCTGCATAGACCACGCAAGAAAGGACCTCACCCGCACGCTGTACTGGACGATCGTTGCTTGGGCATCCGCGTCACGACGAAGGAAGGGACCCAAATACCAACAGTGTCCAAAGTACGAGTGCTCGGCCTGTGGCTGGAAGAGAACGGCGCGAACCACGAGCTGGTAGCGCGATTGCAAAAGTAAGTGGCCGCAGCAACGCTCCTTGTGCGTCGAGTAGCGAAAAAAAAAGAAAATGGCTAAAGAAACACAACGTGACGAAGTTATTACATGCGTACGCGCTGAGCCACATAGAGTCCATCGCCGCGTATGCGACAGAAACAGAAGCGAAACCGAGAAGCTGAACGCGGCGATTCGTCGAGCGTTCAAGGTAGCCCTGGGTGTGCCCCAGTACACGGAAACCCGTAGGTTTCTTGAGCTGGGTGTGCAAAACACCCTCGACGAGATAGCAGAAGCGCAGAGGATCGCGCAGCTTGAGAGGTTGACGGGCACAAGAACGGGAAGATGCATTCTCTACCTGCTCGGGATTCAATGTCATGGGGCGCTGGGACTAAAGGAAGCATTGCTACTGGAATTCAGGGACGCTATACTGACAAAAAACATCCCCAGAAGCACGCCACCCGTTCACAACTTACAACAACGCAAATGCAGAGATGCAGCAGTCTTGATGGCGCACGGAAGCCAAGAGAGAGTCCTTTTCGTCGATGCGGCCAGTTATCCACTGTCAGCCGGCGGTGGCGATAGGGAACGCCCGGAACTCCCGCCCTTACCCGTGAACGAGCGAGACAATGTCGAGGCGCTAACACCACCACCACTGCTACTGCTACGACAACAACGACTGCAGCGACAGCGGCAACATCAAAAGCAAGTGCGGTCCACGGCGGCGAGACCTGCTTTCTGCATGGCGGTCCTGGATACAACGGGAAAGGTTCGGGTCACGGCATCAGCACGGCTGCCACCAGCCAAAGCTGCAGAAGAGATGGCCATAGCTTTAGCGGCACTCCACAGTGGTGCGGATGACACCCTGATTATTAGCGATTTTAAATCAGTGATTCGGAGCTATATTGAAGGCTGGGTGTCCGAGGAGCTGGCACGCATGCTTAACGTCAGGGCAGGGGACTTCGCGTCAGGCAAGATTACTGACAAGGCCCTCAAGTGATTTCCCGTGCACATGGGGGACATAGCAACTATCATCATGAACTGCTTTAAAATCAGCAGCCGCAACGCGAACAGCCAAAGAATCGACGGCATGCCGCCTAACCATAACGAGCACGTCCACCTCGTCATGAGGCCACTTACCCGCCGCGACGAAGCCAACCAGGGAGAAGCCGCCACTGTATTTGGGAGAAACACTGGTGTAGGCATGGCAGTGGCCGCAGGCACCGGCACTGCCCCAATTACCACCCCCACCCCATCCGTTGCTGCGGCAACTGAAGTTGGTGCAAAAGAGGCGAGGCAACAAAAGTGCACCGACTGCTATGCAGAAGAATTTCCTGCCACGTACCACGACGTGATTAAGCGCTATAAGAAAGACAGCAAGAAATTTCCACAACCACACGGGCACCTGGACAGGTCGCAGGCGGTGGACCTAAGAAGGCTGCAGACGGGCACGTTCACCTACCTCTACCACCTGCACCGCCTATGGCCCACGTAGAACCCATCGTCTGGCTGCCCATGGTGTGCGCATGTACGGGCCGATATGGCACATATACCTTGGTAATGCGCAAGAGACGAAGATGGGCCACGAGAAAGGACGACGTCAACTGAGGGACCCTCCAAAATGGCGCGCATTGCTGAGCGACGGCTAGCAACCCTTCCCAGCGAGGCCCTCGAAGACCTCGTGCGGGCCGTCCAGTGGGCCAGGGCCGTCACCGAGAACCTCTGAAGATGTTCCTCGAACGATGTGTCCCTGGCAGCCTAGGCCCGGGCACAGCAACAACCGTCGGACAAATAAATTTCATTCAACTCAACTTAACCATCACTACATGCTGGCTGAGCTGTGACGTTTGTAGCTTGCCTAGATACTATAGCTGCAGCTTCCTCTGACAATAATTGTAGCAGACTTTATGTGGAAAATCACATGTAGCAGTACTTACAGCGCCGAGGTTGTCATGGCGGCTAACAGAAAGAAGTACAAATTCAAAGATTTGCTTTTCATGTTTAGTCGTAGTCACGCATGCAGCTTTACAAATGCTTAATGCGAACATGATTTGGCTTCTCATATATAGGTGAGACAGCTAAATGAAAAAAAAAATCATCTTGCAGTGCATCTCGCAGCAGGAGGGCCGAGTGCATTCATCTTCATAGCGGCTGTCGTTTTAGTCATTGATTTCAGGAAGGAAAAAAATTAAAGAAATATAATTAAAATGGTGTGAAACCTAGAATGCATCTGCTGCAGACGATGTAGTATTAAGAATATTTGCTCCGCAATAAGAAATTGTTGCTCAGGGCGAGTATGTTTAGTTGTGGAAGATCAGCGTTGACACGACCGTGGCAGAGGCGTTCCTGCTGAAGACCAATCACAAGATGCCGGAGTCACAGGCGTGCTCACAAGGAGCGGGGGAGAAAGGGTCAACGACCGCCCCTCTCTATTTTACGAGGGGAGGGCGCAAAGTGTGCCTTATATTTCGGCTCATACTTTTTGCTTTTGTTTTTCTATCATTCTGTCACCCCCTCTCTACTCAGATGGAGCTGCCGCCTAATTGTTTAAGAAGTAGGATTATGGTCACGAAGATTTTTGATGATAATGGTGGCGAAAGACTCTGACGTCACACTACAAGAACTCTTTACTTCTCGTATTCACTCCCGGAAAAGGCCAGCCAGCGTGAGTTCATATTTTCGTTCATAGGGACGGATTTTATTTTTTAGGTCGAATAACGGAGGTGAAAGAACTGCAGATATATTAAAATTTTTCTTCACTTCCCGAAAATTGAGAACCTGTGCCCACCTATGGCCTGAGTCAAAAACACACACATGATGACCGTGAACTGACAACGTTCAAAGCTCGACGCTTACCACCCTGCTCGTACACAATGTGCTAACGAAACAAACGCAACAGGTATACACAGAACGAGCACGAACTAACAAGTATCACAGTTGTTACTTCACTGTGTTTGAACCAGACAATTTTTCGTGATTCTCTGAAGCGAACGAACTCACCTTTGTGCGCTCTGAAACCCAAACGCCATCTTTCCGGTGATTGCAGATTGCACACGACATACAAACTACCATCATCACAAGATAAGCGCACGCATGTGTGTGCGTACAGGTATGAGAGACTCCACCCTGTAGGCCAAAGTGGAGGTGGACACGCCGATGCATCGCACTGAGCGGGGCGCCGAGCGCACGCTTTGCGCCATCTTGATGGTTCACAGGTAGGGCAAAGAACACGGTGATATTCCAAAGAGATCAGCGTACCGTCAGCGGTAAATGCTGGATATGAATAGCCCGTGGTCAGTAAGTTAAATGACGTGCGCTTTTGTGGCTTAGTGGTTAGCGCTGCCTGCTGCGGAGCGAGAGGTCGCCATACGATTACGCGTGTCAGAAAATGTTTTTCTGGATAGTTTTTTATTGATTATATAAGGGTTAACCCATATCAAGTGCACCCGGTCAGTTTTCGGCCATCTCCGATCACGCTAAAAATTATGCAGGTATCCGTTGATGTTAGAAGCACTTATTAAGGCTTTATATTTCGTATATTTATGTGGCCTAGAGCGTGCTTTCAACTTTGGGCACCCAAGTGAAACTGTGTCGAGCTAAATATTTTTATAATACTACTAGTTGGAGCACTTACAATAAAACAATTTTTAAAATCTCAACGCTCTACTCTTTGATGACTATGACATTTTATTTATTTTGCTCTAAATTTCTGTCTTTTTCCGATGTAAACATGAAAATAAATTCTGTCTTTCTCTCCTTGGCGAACAGTGGCAATATGCTTTGTGTTTAGCGTTATTTAGGAAAAACACACTTTTTCTCGCCAGTTATATATTTGCATTTTCCCTTTTTTAAATTTCTATAATAAACGAATAAAGTACTTTGGAAGCGAATAAAGCTAAAACAATGTCACAATCGTGTGACAAAGCTCGTAAATATAACATTTCGATTCATATTGTGACTTATTTTCACACTGTAGCGTTCCAAGTAAAAATTAGGCTTATATACTGTTGCATAGTATGGTTTGTTAGTAAGACATACAGAAAGATTCAGAAGAGAAGTTTTCATTTATGGAAGGAAAAAAAGTTTCCACCTGAACAACGACAAGGTGGTACGAAGCTTGACTTTGCCTCGCCTTCACTACATAACACGCCAGCACAAGATTCTCGAGGGGGTTTTTCGGCAGTGAACGATGCATGTCATACAAAAACGTGTGACTTATTTTAGTAATATTGCTGTATAAAACGCCAAAAAGGAGCAACAGTGCTTATTTTACGGAACGGCATCTTCCCCTGTGGACCGTCCAAGGGCAGGCGTATACTTAACCGCTCATATATAGTCCACTACTATACCATGAATTTCTACGGAAGCGTGGCCTGAGAACTTCTGACCAGCACTGTACATATGGTGAGCTGTGTTTTTCTGAGCTTAGGTTTACGGCAATGGAAGGTCGAAAATAAAAAAAATCACAGCATATCCACAAAGTGAATGATGGTGGGTGGGCGAAGCTCCGGAGGATCATTAACCCCTGTAAAGTGCCCCTCGATCATGGAAAAACGTGACAACACGTATGTCCAGTATATAGAAAGCTGCTTAATATTCACTCTACGGGTATGGTGTTGAGATGTGGGTGGAGTTTTCCTTTCACTTAAG